CCGGGCCGGGCCGGGCGGTCCATAAAGGCGCGCGCGGCGGGGGCGGCCCCGCAGCGGCGGCGCGATGCGGGCGGCGCTTTGGTGGCTCTGGGCAGCGCTGGTGGCCGCGGGGAGCAGCCGGCCCCGGCTCCGCCTGTCCTACAGCGGTGAGCGGGCACCGGGAGCGGGAGCGGGCCGGGAGCCGTCGGGGCTGCGGCCGGAGGGAGGCAGCGGCGGGAGCCGCGTGCGATCCCGGCGGAGGAGGGAGGCGCCGGGAGCGCTGTCCCGGGCTCCCCGTGCCCGGGCGGGTGGGCGGCAGGGCAGGTGCGGCGGGGCCCTCTGGATCGGGAATGTTTGGTTTTAATTAGCGGCTCGAGCTCCTTGCGTCGCCCCGTTCCGCTAGCTCGGCGTGTCGCTGAGCTCAGCTGAACGTGACAGCGAGGGGGAGGCTGGAGCATCTCCGGCTGTGCACGCCGCCTAAAAGTGATGACAGGGGCTTTAGAAACCCCTTGGCTGATGCCATGCCCCCTGCCCTGGAAGGGACCGGAGCCGGGAAAGCCCAGGGAGCTGCTGTGCACGAGAGGGGCTCCCTCAGGCTCATCCTGGCAAATGTCCYATGCCAGGACATGGAGAGACACCACGGGTGGGAGGTGATACTGGGACATGGGCTGGCTGTGTCCCTCGGTCTGTCCTAGGCCGTGACTCGGTGGCAGGAGTTGGGTTTGGGATCTGGCATGCAGGGACCGGGCATCTTCCATCCAGGAGCGGAGCCTCCGGCTGCATTCGGCCGAGCGGCTCCTCAAGGCTGCCCGGGTTTTCCTGGCTCCTGTGGGAAAKGAGCTCGTTTTGAAGCTCATTTTGAGCTGATTATCCTGTTCCTCGTCCAAATTGGAAGCAGAAGCTGATATTTCCCATGGAACAAGTCCTGCCACTGTCTTTTCCATGAAAGAGAGGGAGGGAAAATAATGAAAATCTCAATTAAAACCATCAGAAGTCTGTGAATGGCCTTAAAAAGGAGCGCTGCCGAAATGCAAAGCTGCTTCTGCTTAGCTTGTCAGCGCGGGATGCGGGGGCTTTCGGAGCCATTCCTGGAGCAGGGAACAGCCCCGCTCCGGCCGGGAGCCCCAGAGCAATGGGGCTGGGGAGCCCTCCCTGTCCATGGGGAGCAGGGTGCTGCCGCTCCCCGGAGCAGGAATGGGAATGGGTCATCCCATGGGAGAGAGCACGGGGCTGATGTAAGATGAGGAGCAGCAGGAATTCACGGGGCTGGGGGGGCGGGAAAGCCCTGCCCGAAACAATAAACGGAGCCGTTTCCTTGGGCGCCGAGATTGCGAGCTGGGGAAATATCATTGCCGGTCAAGAATAGGAGGCGGTGGCTGCGTGTTCCTGGGCCGGGCCTGGCGAGGCGGGAGGGCGCAGGGTGCCTGCCAGGGAGAGGGGATGCAGAGTCCCACGAGCTGTGAATATCCCGTCAAATCACCCGAGCAGAGGATGCTCCTGGTGCCGTCTGCTCTGTGGGCACCGGACCCAAACAGAGGGTTGAGGCCGGTGCCGGGCAGGGGGTTCCTGGATCCATCCAGTGGCCTGAGGGGCACGGGGGCATCCCGGGATGCAGCCGCGCTCCTCAATGGCTCTTTGTCCTTGTCCGCTTGACCGGCAGCCTGGGCAACTTTGGTTGTGGCTTTGCAAGGGGACASAGGGTGCATTAGCCCCAGGGGGACCAGTTTGGTGTCCGGCTTTGCCATACGGGTTCCTGGTCGTGGTCGGCAATGGGAATTCAAGGCTGATTCCATCGTGCCCGCCGTGGCCGGGGAGCCGGTGCTGTTATCACCACGCGGCGCACGTAGATAAGAGCCCTTTCATGCGCCACAGAGCTGCTGAGCACCAACCGCTCCGTCCTCCTGCTCGGCCTCCRCGGGCCCGTGGGCCTCCGCAGCCTCCACCTGGACGAGTACCGCGAGCGGCTCTTCGTGGGCGCCAAGGACGCGCTCTACTCGCTGCGGCTGGACCGGCCCGGCGCCGGCGCCAGGGAGGTGAGCGGGGCGCCCGCTGCACCGAGCTGCGCCGGGGCTCAGCCCGCCCAAACCGCCTCCCTCTGCCCCTTCCCCTGGGGCGGGGAGGAAGCAGAGGGGGAAATGAGGAGCCCTCGGTCTCCGTGACGGGGTGGCACAAGCACCAACCCGTCCCCGTCGTGTTTCAGATCCACTGGCCGCCCGGCCCCGGGCAGGTGGAGGAGTGTGTCCGCAAGGGCAAGGACCCCGTGGTGAGTCCTTGTCAGCCCACGTGGCCTGGGGGGGGGTCCCGGGATCCCCCTGCGCCTCCCCATGGCCAGGGGGACCTCAGTGGGGAGCCTGTGGCCAGGCCATCAGTGCGCTGAGCGGTGCACGGCCTCAGCAGGGCACGGCGGGGAGCTGTGTCGGGAATTGCTCCGTGCCCGGAGCTAGGTGGGAGCGAGCTGCGGGATCTGACCATGCCCTGGCAGTGCAAAATCAGCAGCTCGATTGGGTTCRTGGGCTCCGTCCCCCGATCCGTATCCCGCTCTGCCGTCGCTCCCAATACTCCGTGCCCTGACATGGAACAGGAGCGGAGCCCCCGCGGCTCCCTCGGCCCAGACTAATCGCTCCCGGTCCCGCTCGGCGTGTTTATTTTGCAAGCTCCCGCCAGCAGACCCGGGCTGGGGGCAGCTCCCTCTTTATTTTCCAAAGGTTTTTTTTCCTAACTTGCTATTTTAGAGGCTCTTTGCGAAAGGAAAATAAACAGCGGGGAGGCTGGGAACCCCCGGGGGCAGCTTGGCGGCCCCGTTCCCAGCGCACGAGGGGCCTCGCGCTGCCGGCCGAGGACTCGGCCCTTATCGCGGCCCCCGGGCGTCCCAGGCATTTCGAGTGGGCCCTTGGGATGCAGGGGACGTGGCCCCATCCAAGGCTTTGTGATAACCAGGAAGCCCCTCCACCACGGGCCTTCTCCGTGAGGAGACCTTGGGTGATCCCATGGGCYGCRCGTCCCGCCCTGGGGACAGCGTCCRTGTGGGACGCTGGATGGGGACAGAGCTGGTGGCTGCACTGGGAAGCTGCCCTTCCCTGTTGGGAAGAGCCCCGGGAATGGCGCGAGGCAGTCRGATAAGGCGCTGAATCCCTGCGGTYGCCACCATGGGATCGGGACGTCCCGAGCCGTTCCCTGCGGACGGGCGCCGGGCAGCAGCAGGATCCGTCTTGCCTCTCCGGCTCCTGCGTTTCCTGCCTTTGTTTCCCGGCGGGAGCAGGTGGGGCGGGAGGGACGGGCRGGCGCGTGGGAATCTCCCGCGTGGGAACCTCGCCGCCGCCGCTCACGGCGCCGCCCCCGCCGCAGACCGAGTGCGCCAACTTCGTGCGCCTGCTGCAGCCCTACAACCGGAGCCACGCGCTGGCCTGCGGCACGGGCGCCTTCCGCCCGCTCTGCGCCTTCGTCTACGTGGGGCGCCGCGGCGAGGTAGGGAGCGCGCGCCCGC